GAATAATAAAAATATAATAATGATAATAATAATATACAAAGCAAGTGATGCACAATGCAATTGCTCACCCCCTGCCGACCGATACCCAGACAGTTCCCGAGCAGTGGTCGCTGCTCCCTGGCCAACCCCCTCCCCACCCCCCCAGTTTCTATACTGAGCATGACATCATATGGTATGGAATAGCCCTTTGGTCAGTTTGGATCAACTATTCTGGCTGTGCCCCCTCCCAGTTTCTTGTGCACCTGGCAGAGCAGGGGAAGCTGAAAAGTCCTTGAGTAGCATAAGCAGTACTTAGCAACAACTAAAACATCAGCGTGTTATCAGCATTCTTCTACTAAATCCAAAACACAGCACTATGCCTGCTACTAGGAAGAAAATTAACTCTATCCCAGCCGAAACCATGACAACACAACAGCCACACTTCCAGTCAAGCAGCAAAAACCCTAGACCTTTCCCTATCTTAGAATAGCGGAGTATAGATGTACAGCTTAGTTTTCCCAAAGGCAAAAATCTTCAGATAAAGAGCACTGCTTTTACATGAACAAATACAGTCTTTATTTCTCTTGAGCATGTACCCCCTCTTCCAAGGACACACATTACCCACCTAACAAAACAGACGCTATTCACAACACACTGTAAGCCTGGAGGCACTGGAAACCACACACATAAAGTGTTTCATCCTGTTTTGTAAGAAGACCTCCTACTTTTGCAGAGGGATGAAATAAAAACATGAACCTTGGAATTGAACAGTCCTTGAAAGCAAGACCCTGACCAATTTGGGAGTTGTACCAAATCTGATGTTTCAGTCATCTCTTAAAAGCATCTCACACCTCTGCTGACCACCTCTGTAGCAATCTCCACACTTCTCAACTCAAAGCATCATGTCCACAAAAGAGGTAAAAAATAAAATAATAAAGAATAGTTTTTTTTTAAATCACCAAAGCTCAGAAGAGTTGAACAGCCCAAAGACCAGGTCCATGGTGGGACCTAGAGCACAAGCCAGGAGCTGGCTCCAAAAGGGAGGCTGTGACCATCCTGGTGTGTGCAACGAACACCTGGAGCAGAACAAGGTGCTCTTATTCACTGTGCTGATTTGAGCATATTAGATTCCCTCTAAGATGTTCCCCACTAAAGCAGTAACACTGGTGTAGCATTTTCCTGAAGTGTGTTCACATCTGTAAACCTTTACTCAGCAAAACTTCGATGCATGGGCTGAAGTCGTCAGCTTCTGTTCAAAAACCCTCACTGAAATACGGGCACATGCTTAGCAGAAATGGTTGCAAGGAAACTCTTACGTGGTTCAGTACAGTGTACCCTGAACCCTTTTTTCTGGATGTCCCCTGTGAAAGAGACCCTCCAGTCTCCTCTGCTGTACAAGGTTCGTTCAAAATACGGCAGTTTTCATCAATATCCCCCTCCAGAGGCATTCTGTTTTCTCCTGGTGCTCAGACATTCATGAGCGCAGAGCTCTCCCAGTAACTCTAACCACATAACCCACAGGAACTGCTGGCATTTCCCCACTTCCATCTCTTCAGTTTTTGCAGAGAAAGAAAAGTGAAAGCCCCAAGGTGTTTTTTTCTCAAAAAACACCTCTAGCAGCCCTGGCTGATACAGCCCCAGTCCCAACTGTTCAAAAGAGCACCAACAGGTTCATACAGGTCGAGAGCACGATGTGGCCATCCACCCTGCTGGGATGGGAAGAGCCGACACATGCATGGGTGGGTGGCAGGTGACGTGGCAGCAGAAGGTTCAGCTAGCGATATGCAGGGATTATTTCCATTTCAAAGTGTACACATTGGTAACATAGGAAAAACCAAAGTTGGAAGAGAGACACTGGGGAGGGGAGGGGGATTAAAAATAAGCCAAGCTGGTCCCTTCCCTCCTCACTCAACGCCACCCAGCCATATGGCAGAGAAGATGCTACAGGTATTGAAGCTAAGGAAGAAAATTCTTTAAAATGCAAAGGCCAAATTGTGCAATGTATTTTATGTGCCTGCAGGCTAGAGATTAAACCCACAAAGGATTTACCCAGCCTGCGGAAATGGGGAACATGCCAAACAATTACAAAAAAAGTTGCGAAACAGATCTAGATGGTGATTTATCATACATCTTTTTAACCTGAAATTCCTTATTGTTTTTTAATTAAAAAGCAATTCCTTACTGAAGGTAAGAGTGAGCTCACTATGTTGTCTTTTCATCTCAAGTGGCAGGAAAAGTATCACTTCTATTTGAACGAGGAAGAAAATTTAGAAAGCATTGTTTCCCTCAGTACATTGGTTTGGTAATAGCGTTATGAAGGTTTCAAGGACAGAAAGCCTCAAAAATCTCAAAAAACCAACTAATCGCTTGGATGCCTTAACATCATCGAAGCATAAAGAAATTGGGCACCCAAAGGCAGTGGGCTGAAATGAAAGCATAAATATGGAAGTGCGATGGCGCAGGGAGGGCACAGCACACACCAGTAGCGAACGTGTCTGGTGTCTGCAGGCATTCGGAGAATTGAACAAATGGAAGGAGATACACGCCCCTCGGTCATGGATCAGGAGTGTTGGTGTTGACTGTAATTTTATGTATAAGATCTTCAAAGAAAGCTGGGGTTACAAGGGGAGGGGGGGGAATCACTGCTTTCAGAAGGATGGGAGAGGTGCCCAACACTAGCATGAATACCAAGGCTCCAGGTCAAACAGCGTGGCCCCTCTGCTAGCAAAAGGAAGGGATCTGCTCCTTGTCTACCCTTCGGCACCCCAACTGTCAGACCCCTTTGGCTACAAGCAGCCAGGAAGGCATCAGACCTGCAGCTTAAAATCACAGAAAGCAAACAGCCAAGGGCTAATGGGTTATGATGAACAAGCCTATCCAACAAAGAAATATATATATGTCCCCAAAACACAGGGCAGAATCAGGCTCTGGCCAACACCTTGAACTTGGCATGTCAAAGAAAGAAGGTGACAAGGAGCCCACCTCCACTATGGGACATGGAGGGCATGGGGAGGCAAGCAGGAGCACCCAGCAGAGGCAGATGAGACAGCGGGAGGGCTGCGCTGCCTTTTTGTTACCCGATTGCAAGAGGAGTTCAAGCCTCATGGGCGCTACAAAGGGCTCAGGGCCATGGCACATCACCACGATTTCACATCTACCTCAGGCGCAGCCACCTGTGAGCATGCAATCGCTGAACAGCCAGTCATTTAACACCAGTGTAAATCTGTCCACGGGGTACCTGCTGTCAAGACAGTAAGGGGCTTGAGTTTTCCACCCTGCCAACTTTGCTGCAACCATGGGTAACCTGACGCCAGCCATCTATTGGCATAAATAGATATGAACAACTAGGTCACGGTGACTTCACACTGGATCAGTGATAATCGCTATATCCACAAAGCAAGACAGGATATTGTGTATAGATTTCAAAGCAAATAAGCATCAGAAACTGCCCCCCTGCCCCAAGGCAGGAGCTGTCTGTGCATTAAGAGAGTGCCTGCAAGGGTCACCCCTCTCAGCACAGGTGCCTCTCTGAAGCGGTCCCCAAACCGCCCCACCTCACAGAAGGTGACAGCCCCCTTGCCCACCATTTTGCTACAGGAACTAACAAATGCTCACTGGATGAGAGGTAAGATCATGAGACCAGCAATTCCCAGAAATCCAAAGCATGACTATTAATCAATGCATTTCTCTTATTTGCTAGTGTAAGAAAATTAAATTAATTAGGAGCAAAAATACCAAAAGTGAGCTTGACCCAATCTACAAACCTGTCCTTTAGCGAGATGACAGTAGGCATGATCTAGCAGCAGGAACAAAAGCTGCGCCAATAGCCTGAGGAATGCCAACACCACTTCTACCAGACGTACGGACCAGAACGTTATTTAAAACAAAAGAGCAGAGCCTGGTGACATGTTATCCATTCAAGAGGGAGAGGAAAGAGCTTTGGCTCGGACTTTTCTTTGGGGTTTTGAGTGCTGCATGTCATGCCCAAATAAGCAGACTTCAAGAGATCGCTAAGAACAACAGTGAGTTTAGCTTTTTGCTTAATAATATGATTTAAAAGGAAAGAAGAAAACATTCCAGCACCTGCAGCCCTGCCCTCCCCGCCTGCCTGTGCAGACATACTGTATTACCCACTCTTGGCACCCTGGCTGGTAATTCAGTATCACAATACACACACGCCAGCTACCATCAGGCAACACCTGTCTGGTTTCTCAGCAAGCCCCTTCTCCGGAAGGTGTGTCAACAACAGGTTTAAAGGAGAAAACAAAACACTTTTCACCTCTCAAATGAAGAGTTTTTGCTAGAAAGGACAGAAGTCTCCTGGAAGTAAATGCTGGGTGCAATGCAAGCTGCAATGGATTTTCACTGAACATTCAGTTCCCCTGCAAAACTCCAATGCAGCAAAATCCCCCAAGCACCACTTTGGAAGTCTACCTCTAGTACTGGTCTTACCATCTGATCTAGCCAAGGGATTACGGTCCCTATGTCTTTAAAAGGAGCAGGGTTCAGCCAGCTCTGTGAATGCTGATGGATGTCAACTTGAAGGTGATCCCAGAGGCTGGCGTATGGCGTGACAGCTCCCTGAGCACCTTCTGCTCAGATCAACAGCTCTTTCAAATCGTTTGCAGACTTCTTTCAAGAAGTCACGTTTTAGTTCAACTCAGTTAAACACTAGATTCATTTTACTCGATGTTTTCAAAGCCATTGGTCAGCTGTGCTTTCTCCCCTATCAAACTAA